TCCCGGATTGGTGCAAATCCCAGGTAAGCTTTTCCTAGATTGCTGCAATTGCCAGTTAAGCCCGTCCTGGATTGGTGCATGAGACTTTCTGCAAATGGCTGTAACTTGTAATATTTTGGAACATTGCATTGACAGTGTGCAAACCACAAACTAACCTTGAAGCAGTGATCTAACTCAGTGCTTGTGCGGACTGCACTTATTTTTTCAAACTTATTAAAATAAAAATCCTGCTCTACCTGGTTCAGAATGTTCCAGCCATAATATTGTGTTACTAATTGTCTGAGGGACAAAAATTACTTGTTATTTTTTCTGCAATGAAGGGTGTATGACATTCTCAATCCCCAATGGCTCAAACTCAATTTGAGAGCTATGACATCATGGATCTTAAAATGCAAAATACTTCACACATACTCGTCTTGATATGGATGACATCTGAAAAGCAATTCAGAAACTATTTTCCTTTTCATCTTCAGACTCTGCTGCTATCTTTACCCCTGTGAATGGGGCAGATAGTCTCACTGAGGAAAACAACTGCAATAAGGCAAACGGTCTCAGAGTGGGGAGGAGGTTGAAGGTGACCTTGAAGGGGAGGAAGCAGGGTGTACAGGATGAGTACGCTCACGGCCTGGGCAGGGATGTTCTCTCGGAAGTGGAAGTGTGGGACTTTTGGGAGACTACCTCTGGCCAGTTAGTCTACAGTGCAGTTTTGTCCTCTGATTACTGCCCACTGTCTCACTCTCTTTGTAAGCTAGGGACAGAACCACTTTGTTTTTGTATGTGCGTGGGGGGGGGGGGCAGTCTGTGTGATTGTGAGGGAGCAGAGGTGCTGTTTCCTCCGCTTCTGTGTGTATCAACATACACCATATCTTTGGCCGCTGTGTGGGAAGAGTTCAGTTGGGGGGGGGGGGTAAATCTGTTGGTAATTAACTTCTGTCTGCAATATGGAGCACCCCCCACCACCACTTTGTCATAGCCCCCTCTTTTCTAACCTCTTTAAACATGTTTTTATTTCTGTCTGAGGGTTAAATAGTAATTACTTATTCCAAAAGAGAAGCGACATGGTGAAGGGTGGTATGTGTGTGTGGGGATTACTTTTATATTACTTTGTGGGGACCAAATGCCCCCCACAATGTAATAAAAACTTGATTCTTTGATGTTGTGGGAATCATTTTTCAGGTCCCCATGAAGATCCGTGAATACAATAAAAAAAGTAAAAATGCCAAAAGTCTTGTATTTCGTTTGCTTACTTATGGTTAAGGTTAGGGCTGGGTGGGGGTTAAGGTCGTCATGTTGTGATTAGAGTTTTCCCCGTAGAAATGAATGGAGAGTCCCCACAAAGATATAATTACAAACGTGTGTGGTGGTAGGATTTATTGAATGGGGGGGAGGGTGCCCCCTCCATAGTTTTGGTCAACCAGGGGGCTGAAGCAAATAGGACTTAAATTCTTAATTTTGCTGAATATGTGCCTGATCGTTAACAAAAACATTTTGGGGTACAAACCGTTATTTTACTGTGTGGCTACGGGCCTTGTGTGTGCGTGTGTGGCAGAGGGAACGGCAGTGCTGCCAACCTGCCGCCGCAGTGACTCAGCACCACCTGCACTGCAGCCCGTCGCAGGTCCTTTGCTAATGGTTGTACCTTCCTTGTTTTCCTTCGTTACCAAGACTCAGAAAAACACTGTTGGCTTCGTACACGTTCTGCTCTTTTCCCCACATCTTCAAAGCCGATCTTCAAACTTGTCGTCAGCTGACGGTTTTCTGCATTTGTGTGACGCCGGGATATTTATGGCTACTAATTAAGTTTAATCATTGGCAGGGGATTTTTATCAGTGAAAAAGCATTCATTTATAAAAGTGTGCATTTATTAATCACATTTATATGTTAGTGCATTATTGCAGTAACAAAATATTTTTTCTGTTTTTCTACCAATGGATTAAATGGAATAAACCAATATTAATTACTAATAATTTGTACTTACTAAACATGTTGCTTTACGGTATTAATATTAGACAACATCCAAAAAGCCCCAAGTAGCAAGATGAGTGTGATCCGGATCTGGCCCAAATGTTGTTCAGAAATTCACATCCATGAACTGTATCTGGCCCAGTGTCTTTTTGCACAGTAAACCAAAACTGGTCCAAATTAATTTTCTAGATTAGAAACAGATAAGGGCCATATATGGGTCAGATTTACATTGAATGATACCCAATATCTGCACCAGAGTCAAAAGTTAAATTCAGATCTGGCTCAAAAGGGGGCAGTGAGTGGTGCTGTGGGCTAAGTCTCTGTGCCTGTGATTAGAAGGGTGCTGGTCCAAACCCAGCCTCACCAGAGAGCACTGCATTAGCTGACCTTGCACTGGGACCACCCTCTCCAAGCTACACAAGAGAGTCAGTGAAAAGAAGCCTCTCTTATGTACTTGTGCCAAAAAACATGTTTGTTCCTTAAATGTGGCTCAGACCCTTTTGTTTTTCCCAGACTGACTGCTGACTAGTTCTGCTCCAGGATCCCTCACCTATGTGGCTGGTGAGTGGCTCAGTGGACTAAGTCCCTGTGCTTGTGAGTGGTAGGTTGCTGGTTCAAGCCCCCACCCTGGTGGATTAGTTACAGGTCTGTGGGCCCTTGATCAAGGCCTTTAACCCCCAGCTCTGGGGGGGGGACTTCCAAGATGAAGGTAGATGACATATTCTAGTGTAACTGTGCAAATAAAGTTTACATTCTGCTCCCAGAATCCTGGAGCAGATACCTTAATAAATGCCTTTATTTGTACAGCTACACATCTTTTTAGAGTACAGGGTCAGTCAGCACCCCCAGAGCTGGGGGTTAAAGGCCTTGTTCAAGGGCCCACAGACGTGTAACCATTCCAGTGGGGCCAGGGCTTGAACCAGTGACCTCCAGCTCACAAGCATAGAGACTTAGACCACTGAGCCATTCACCAGCCACATATACTAAAGTAGGATTCTAGAGCTGAACTATTCTGCTGTCAGTTCGGAAAAAATTGAGTCTGAGGCACATTTAACAAACAAAGATGCTTTATTTGCAGACATACATCAGAAGGCTTCTCTTCATTGACCCCCATCTCCATAGCATGAGGGTCACAGTGCAGGGGCAGGTAATATATAGCACCTGCTGTTGAGGCCAGGTCTCAAACCAGCAACCTTCTGCTCGCAGGTAGAGAGAGTTAACCCACTAAGCCACTACCTGACCTGAATTTAACTTTTGACTCTGGTGCACATACAGGCCAGATTGGGTATCATTCGATGTAACACTGGCCACCTATGGCTCTCATCTGTTTCAAATCCAGAAAGCGAATTCGGACCAGTATTGATCCGTTGTGCAAAAAGACACCAGGCCAGGTCCAATTTACGGGTTTACTCCAAATGACCATTTTAACATTAAACATTCGGCTATATAGAATTTGGTGTCCGTGTTAATGACCACCAGTTCGCCATTATTTAATTTGGTTTAATTTATTTAAGATTTTTTTTCTCCTTTACAACTAAGATCGGGTTACAGCTCATGTATTTCACTAAGCTGTGGAATACCTGCTTGTAGCAGAATCCTAGCCGCATGCTTAAAAATCCCTGAAACTAATGAAAGTTATGTATTGTAATTAATGTGGCATGACCTTGCAGCATTTTGCAACGCCTTCTATTAGTATGAAAGAGACACACCCTCCTGACACATGACAAATCCCGTGTACATGTATTAACGGCCTGCTGTCTAACACCTGAGTGGAATAACTCATTTGGGTCTGGGAATCGTCGCTGCTGCTTGCTGGTGCTGTAAGAACACTAGAGCTGCCCTGAGCTGGAGAGCCAAACGAGGTTCAGCTTTCTGCATGTTAGCATGACATAAGGCAACATCCACCTGACTGTTCTGGCGGAACCTACCGCTGCTAACGCTAATGCTAATGCTGTCTGTCTCTATGTCTGCAGAGTGACTTTTCTCAAGGAGGGGGTGCCATGGAGCAGGGGGGTGATGAGGTAAGTAGGAGGGAGTGGACAGCAGCAGCAGCAGAAGTAACTAAGCTCTGATCGAGGTTCAAAACCATTCAGGAATGATTTTGCTTAATCCAGTAGCACGTGTTGCCATTCATTCACAAACTGGGACAAGACACTTTAATTGTTAATTGCAAAACTCCACTGAGACCTTGGAACTCTGACAGCACAGATTAGAGTTCACTTTGATATTTCTGGTTCTGTTCAGCTGTTTAATTACAGACATATTGTGTATATTTTGCTGTAAAATATGTTACTATATTTTAATGCAACAAAAGTAGAGTATGAAAATTACGAAACTCACAACAGAACTTAAAAAATCTGTCCCTCTCTCTGTCTTTCCTTCACCACCTAGGGATACTAATCCTATGGCTGAGGACAAGCTACACCAGCCCCGTCTCTCAGCACCACTGTCCACCACTGAGACACAAACTCTTACCAACATTTTTTTGTGACCGAGAATCAGAGAGACCCTCCCAGCCCCGTAGATCCTTAACCCTGCCCACTCCTTCATCCAGTGTTAGTATCTCACGCACCGTGTTGTCGTTGCTCACACACTTTGACCCTGT